ACTATTGCATTGTTCTGTACACCTGAAACTAACAACAAAAAAACACACACAAAACAACAACAACAAAAAAACCAAAAGGTAAATTGCTATGTTGTGAGGTGTTATCTACTTTTATCTTATTTCAAAGACTATTATGTAAATAAAGCAATATTTTATTTAATATAGATTGCTAAAATAAATAAATGCAATAAATTAAAAAAAAAGAAATTAGTATCATGAGTAACTATATTCTAGAATCCATTTACATGGCTGGGTCTATGGCTTTATTTCATATCTTCTCATAAGGAATTAAATACTAGCTTTTTGCTTGTAAAGCAATTTATAAAAGAAGAGCTGAAGTTTTTCTGAGTTTTTGTTCCTTATGTCATCTGATTTACTCTATCATATTGTTTTTGATTTTTTTTTTCCATAGGTGATGGGTGAGTGGGTTGCTTGATTGATTTTTGCTACTGGACAAACCTTGTAAAAATTATGTATAGCTTATGTTTTCAAATGTGTTATGTTATCATAGCACATGTATATCTATATCTATATCATCTAACTATAAATTAGTTTTTTAATATGATTTCAGCACAAATAGTTGTTAAATCAGGGAATCAGGGATGATTATATATTTCCGTCAACCACAGTGATTCTCGGTGATACTCGGGAGCCCTCAGTTGTTAGGATTCTGAGTTTGGCTGGAACCGTGTGAAAATCAGGGAAGTATGCATGAGGTGGGGGCTGGGGTGTATAAGGAGACAATGCCACATATTTGGTACCTTGAAAGAAAGTTGCTATTCCAAGATTAAAAAAAAAAAACAACCTTAGAAAAGTTGTGCATTATATAAGTATATTCATTAGGTTAAGTTTTTTGATGGCAGAAAGAATTTCAGAATATTATGAGAATGTTTAGGGCCTCCAGGGCAGCAAAAAGGATCCTGACAGCAAGAAATGGCTTAAAAGAGGTTTGCAGATAAAGCTCATTGACTTCACAAGTTTGCCTAGGGCAGCCTTGCTCCCTAGCAGTGTTCCCACAGCTGTGCATTTAGTCTTCCAAAGAGAATAAGCAGTTTCTTGAATCTACTCCCCAGCCCTACTCAAAATAGCAGATTCACTTATGGTACTCATCAAACCTCTTTGATCCTATAAAATATTTTTTTGAGAAACGACAAAGAAGTTTAAGCTAAAATATTTTATTTGGTAGACAACAACAGATATGCACTAAGTTATTTTTAAAAAGATGTATGCAAGATGCAAAAAGGAACAGGGTAAATGAGTTAAGCACTAGAAAATGTTCTTCTTATATGTTACACGGATGCCTTAAGTTAGAGAAGTAGAGATCACATACCGCAAGACTGGTATTCATGACCATAAATTCTCAACAGAAAATCCCCTTAGCATAACAAAGCCATACAGGGAAATGAATCATTGAATGAATACTAATACAGACTTTGAAAACAGAGTCCAACCATGTGCAAAAGAAAAGTGATCTGTTGTCAAGCCTGAAAATTTACTGAAGAGTGAAAAAGAAAGAAAAGAGGAGGGGGTGAAAAAACGAGGGCAGAGAGAAAAAGATGGAGTGAAAAATAGGGTAAGGGTAGAAGACTTGTGAAAACTATTGTATTGTGAAATTCTGATTCTTGTACTTCATAAGGCAACATAAACAACAATGAAACTGTTTAATATCATAACAAAGATATACCTAAATTCTGTACCATTTAAATATATGCTTTTGTCTAAATGTTTCATCTTCTTAGTTATCAAATTAGTTATTTTAAGAAGGTTTACACTTGCATAACTGCTTGAAATATGTTATGATCCTGTAAAGATGATGCAATTTCCCTTTTGGTTTATTTATACTTAATTAGTTTTTTGTCAATGTTGTACACTAATTACACTCCAGCATTTCAAGTTTGTTTGTTTTCTGATTCAGAAAAATTAATCTGTATCCTTTGGTTATGTAAAAAGCCTAGCATTTAATTAGGAGCATGTCATATCTGATTTATGAAATGGGCTATAACCTTGCCAATGCTGAGAGATAGTCACTCATTTAGAGAAGAACGTTCACTCTTGGAATAACACAGTAAAGTTACAAACCATTGTCCTTTCTTTGCATTTGTTTTATTTTCTTCTAATTTATTTTAATATCACATTGTTTTCCTTTACCCTAGATTTCCTTATCATTGCGTGTGTATTTTTTTTTACTTTTCTTATCCTTACTGTCTTGCTTATTCCTCTAATGTACTCTGTTCTAACTTGGTAGAAACTCTTTAAAAAGGAAATGAAGTGAACTGTAAAAAAGCAAAAGTGTGTCCCATTGTTAATCTCTAACAGACTGATGTGTTCTGGAGAAAAGGTTCGTATAGATAGAACATCTCTATCCATAAATAAACAAAAATCTATTTGACGAGAACAATCCCCAATAATTCCTTATACAATGTATCCAAAAGTTACCTCAGCTTGACCAATAGGTATGTTTTCATAGTTGTATAAATTATCCAGGTCTTCTAAGGTGGCATCATAAGTTTCTGAGTCATAGTTGATGGGCTCTAAAGTTGGAGCAGTCACAGCAGCATCAAAGATGATGAGTCCCAGAACGAGTCTTGCTAATACTTTCATTTTTTCAGATTTTCCTAATCATAAAATATTAAAATGCACAAATATTTAATTGATAATAACCCATGAATAGTTTGCACTAAATAGGAATGATAGATTAATGTCAACACTGAGAAACTCAAGCTGGTAGCTTTCTTTACATGGATAATTCAAAAAACATAACACAAGAAATTGTATGGCTTCTGAGGACTATTGATACCAGATGTTCAAGTTAATGCACAAACCTAGCCACGTTTTTACAGTAGGTATTGTAATTACAGTGAAATTGTTTTTATCTTATAGAAACATGGGGAAATGGAATGCAGAAAGATAATGATACATTTATTCACAAAAGTCTTTACATTATCTAAGATTTTTACCATTTGCTAAGCATTAAGGCTTTTCATCAGCTCTGGAGGTAGGACTGATGGTGATGATGATGATGATGATGATGATGATGATAATCGCTATAACCGTTACACTATTTTGCAGATGACGAAACCAAGATAGAGTTGGTTAGTGATACAACTAGGACTCATAACTGTTTCTTGTACACTCAAGCCTAGGGCTTTTTCAGGCAAATAATGACGGTTTTTTTTCCCTTTTACGTCTTTGTTGCCTCTGGGTATTATTAATATATAGATGATTTAATATGTGCATGTTTTAATATTTCATGAATATTTTTCAAAACATGTTCTTATCTAAATGGAGTAGAAAAGAAAGTTATTTTTCCTTTACTCTTAAGTGTTTTGTTTTAATTCTTAATAGCTATGTAAGGTTTAAACTCAGAATCAATAGGAATACATGTCTAAAAGGCAACATTCCCTTAGAGGAGGATTTGCACACATGTGGGATTAAAGTAATATTTTGTTTTGTAATTCTTTAATAAGCACAATTCTTATTTTCCATGATAACATTATACTTTTTTGGATTTTAATCAAGATCTTATTACTTTAATTATTTTCTTTCTATATGTACTCCTTTGAATACACTTTAGTTTAGAAAAAAAAACTGATTAACTTTAAACATTTAAGTTGGGTGGGTCTATCAAAATGTCACCTAGTGATTATTTATTGAGGAAGCAAAGAATTTGTAAAACTTTTAATCAAGCATGTCTAATTTTAAAGGTTTTGTATTTTGGATACACTTCTTGGTTTTACTTTAAAAACAGTACATATGATGTTTGTACCTATGCACATGTATAAAGGGAATTCAATGTAAACATTACTTCTAAACTTGAATGCGCTGGCAGACAAACTGACCTTCAGTTACTTGAAAGAAAGTCTTTATGAAGCAGGTTCAGGCAGAAGGATATGAAATTCCCTTGAGAATAAGAAGCAGTACAAGGAGTCCCTTTTTATCCCCTCCTATGATTTCTTCAAATAAATTTTTTATTCACACTGGATAAACTAAGCCTGTGTTTTACTTGCCTTTGCAGAGGCCTTTGCAGGATTGCAGATTTGGAACTGTTCTATGCAATTACTAACAAAGTCTTAATAAAACAGTGTGATGTGCAAATCTTCCAGGATACATTCAACCATTCTCCCACATTCAAGTGGTTAGCATTAACAGTGGCCACCACTAACATGTATATATATCATGTGTATACATATATATCATATGTATACATATGTACACATATGTATACACATGATATATATATATATATATATATTTGCATATACATATATTTTTTCTTGTAAACATCTGGCAACTTTCATTGTTCAAATAAATTATGCACTTGCTGATTCTTTTTCTCACTTCATACTCAATAGTCAATTGTAAATGTCTACATATTAGAGTTTACCTGCATTTGACATATCCCCTAAAATACCAGCAACAAGGCAGTCTGTGTGAATCTCAGAGATATGAAGAACATATATCCATGTGTAGTTAAAAAAAATGTAGGTTCATTCCTTCAAGTAAATATATTATTATTTAATGTAGTGTCTTTGTTGAAACTTTGAAACTGTTGTCCACCTGACACCATTTTATGATATTTTGAAAATATATGCTTATAGAAAACTTTAACATCTAAAGCTTAAAAAGACATTCTAAATGCATAATTCTAGCATGATCAGTATTCTTGTTAAACACCTGAAATCTCATCAATTTCTTCTTCTGCATCATATTTTAATCAATAACAATCAATATTGCCTGTCTACACTGGCAAAGAATGTGGTCTCTGTCAGGGCGCTTCGTTTAAGGAATATATTGGAAACTGCTATAATTTTATTGGCATCTGTCATGATTATTAGGATCAACGATTTTGCTGTATGTTTTTAATTCCTAAGCTAATTCAGACTTTTGGATTTTCCAAGAATAATGTAAATATCAACATAGAAAAATTAGACCCAACCCACTGAATCAAAGTTCACCATGAGATATTAAAGCAAGTTGAATTATTTTTTTAAAGGTTGTTTTAGTAGGAAAAAAAAAAAAAGGTCTCTAACCCAAGAAGAAAGCAAGTGTAAAAACTTACCTTTGGCTCCTACTTGGTGAAATGGCACGAAGTGACTGAGGACACAGAGCCAGTGGTATTTGCCCCTGACCAATGGCTGTGAATTCTGGTCTGTGGGAGGTGGAATTTGTAACACTCAATTTTCTGTTTGGAAAAGCTAACCTTGAGAAATGCTTCTCAGTCTTTAAAAACCCCTAACTACTTTATAGTCACTCAAGCAGTAGAATACAAATTACATAGTATAGAAAGCCCTTGAAATTATATTAAAGTTAGAATTGCCAATGTGTCACCTTAAAAATTTTAAGTGGAAAAAGTTGGTTTTAACATATCTCATCTATAACAAATTCACCAATTAAGAAAAGAAGTAAATGTATGCAGTAATAATACAGATGAATATTTCTGAAATATTCTAATAAGAAATAATTTTTCTAAACATTGCATGTTTTGAATTGCTCTCTTTACTTTTTATTACTGTTAACTGAAATTCAGTGAATGTTTCAAAGTCTTACCTGTTTAATGTTGGGTAAGTAAATATATATATATATATATATACATATATATATATGTGTGTATATATATATATATATATATATATATAAATTATTTTGATTGCTTGGAATGCTTTGAGAGCAATGAAACACTGAACTTTTTTGCATGAACATTTACAAAAAATTATGTTTAGAAATAATCATAAATATGATCTGAGTGTTTCAGGGAAAAAAAAACCCAAAACTCTTTTTCCTTTTTTACCTATCAGAGCCAAATGAATCAAATTACATTAAAAAAAAAAAACAAAAACAACCTTTTTCCAGAATACAAGATTTGTTGTAGGTTCTTGGAATCTGACATGGTTTGTGAAACTGGGTTTTATTACAGATTAGAGAGAAAATATATTTGTGTTAAATTTCTAGTGTTCACTTGCATTCATACTGCAAAAGTTCTAGACTAAGATGAAATTTTCATCGTGTGTTCTGGTATGCTTTACATAAATCTAGGTTTCTTGTTCTCACCTGTGCATCAAGAAGTGAATACTGTATTGTTTGGTCCTGGGCAAAATGATAGAGAACCTTTCTGTTTCTCTCCCACCTTTTCTCCCCACAAAACTTCTTTGCCCATCTATTCAGGGCTCAGTCGTTGTCCCCACCATCCATACCTGCTTCCAAATCTCTTGTTCTCAGTGTGCATTAGTTTTTTCTGGTTCAGTTTTATTTGTAACAGATGCAGTGATACTAGGAAAAGTACGAAGTCTATCAAGAATTCTCAAACAGGATAGAGGCCATCTTAGAGGTAAGGACTTCTTCCTGGCATTCTTGCAGTCTCACCACATCATATAGGGGCTATTTTCAGAAACATTTCTAGAAAGGGGCCTGAATCTGAGTTTTTTTACTAGCTCTGTTTAGCAGCAACATTACACACTATGTGTTAGATGATTTTATGTATTGTTAATTCTCTCAACACATTTCCTTTTTCTATTATCTATCTATCTATCTATCTATCTATCACCTATCATCTGTCACCTATCTCTTTTTTATTTATGTATTCATTTGTTTTATGAAGTTCACATGTTCAGCCTTTATTATAAAGCACAGTGGGCCCACCTGACCAGGTGAACTCTGCCATCAGCAAGGTTGGGTATGAAAGGACCCTTCACAGAGTATGCATCCCACCACTCCATGGTCCTCTCAAGGACATGTCACTAGAGTCAAACCTCATCCATGAGCACCATCGCCATGTGTCAGACCATGCCCAGGGCCCTACCTCCCACCCCAGCTCCCCACAGTAATTGTGACCTGCACTTGGGCACATGCACTTGACCTGAATGACTGACACTTCAGTTTGAGGAAGCTCTGCTTCCTGTCAACAGGTATTTCATCTGCAGCCCAACTTATGTCTGGTGGGCCACTTTCCAAGCATGCAGCCCCCTCAGGCAAGGCTGGGTTTCCTTTGACTGTTGCTGCCAGGACTCACCCCACCCCCCCACCCCCAAACATGCAGATCAGGGGTAGTTTTGGCAGAAGCCTGCTCATCTTCCTATCCTCAATGCTTTCCCTTCCCCACCCACTGCCAAGCCCATGTATGAGCTCTAACAATGACCCTGACCAAGGGCCACTTTTTGGAAGACCACTCACCTTCACTGCCCTGAGTATTCATCAAAGGGCTGTGAACAGGAAGGGAAGAGGCCAACGGCTTTATCCCCAAGCACTACCCAGGCTCCAGGCATTCCCACACCTTGGCAGGGAATGTGTAATCTTTGAGGGCAAGTTTCCAGCTTGCAGACAACTGATGATGAAGGAATTCCAACATCAACAAAGACCTCTCCCCCAGTGCCATCCATCACCTTAGTCTCAGGCCATCACACACCAGGGTGGGAAGCTCAAATACCCACGGGCCCAGCAAATAACAGCAGAGAGGGGCAGGCTGCCAAGTGAGGCCACCAGCTGCGGTCCATTGGAGCCATTTTCCTGCACAGACAAACTCTGGTGTCCTTCTCAGCAAGCCTCTGGCCAGGCCACCCCATGATTCACACTTAGCTAAGCACAGGGAGATGGGTGACTTCGAACCCATGGCAGCCAGCGCCACTGGGATGGGGCTCTCGGGCAATCCAGGATCACGGTGACTCTCACAACACGTTTTTCAATCAGCGATTATCACTATTCACAGATGGGTGAACTGACACTCAGACATTAAATTATCCAATGTCATGTGTGACAGAAAGAGAAACCCAAATTGGGTCAAGTTTCCAGATGTTTCTGAGCCCTTTAGCATTATACACCAATAAGGTATATTGGTGAAGGTAAGAAGGCAGTATTTCTCAGTTTCTTAGATTCTAAGGCTGCTTACCACTCACTAGTTTTTAGACTCTCAGATACTTTACAATAAAAATGGATGACCAGAATACCCCTGAAAACACCTAACATTTCTTCCCTGTCCTGCATTATTTAATCAGTACTTTGCACACTTTGTCAGATGACAGAGAGGTGGCTCTACCTAGTCCTTTGCTTTCTGGATGACTCTGGCTGAACATGTAAGACTTTATATCCAGAAGTAACATTTCCACACTATCCTTTAGACTGTTGGTGTTTATGTGATGTCTTCCTTAGGCTTCAGGACACTCTCTACTAATGCAGTTGTTTTGTGACAATTTAATAACCAAATTAATTGTCTTAATATAGAGTTGAAAGCAGAAATTATCATTCCTGAGTCTTCTTCCTTTCATCTTTCTTTATAGCAATGGGCAATTTTAAAAATCGATTCTCTTGATCTTATTTGGACCCTCTCCAATAATTCAAAATCTATTTTGAACTGTGGGAGCTCAAATTTGTAACAGTCTCATGAGGACTTAATCTCCATCGAACAGTAAGGAAGGATCAGTTACCAGTTCCAGCATTTCTTATCCTTGGTAAATATCTTCTAGTTTCATATTTTTTCTTAATAGAGCCTGAACCTGGCTATTGGATACCCTCGGGGGATCAGTTATTATAACTAGTTGCATTATCTTATAACTGAGGCTTTGTGGCTTATCCCTTTAAGCCCCCAAACATTTTATAACCTCTTTTGGCTACAACTCTTTACAAAATTAATTAAACAAAACACTGTGTGCCTAAACAGAATTAATTTTAAACAAAAATTGTCTTATTTTAATGATTATCTTCTTTCTGTTGTGTAGCAGTGGGAGCAGAGAGGGGCAGTCACTCTGACAGCCTACTGCTACCTGCCCTCGTCCCCAGCCCCAAAAGGCCACATCTGCAAGAGCTGAAGGGGGGTATGGATAGCCCACTCCATTATAAGGAATAAAACTATTGCCTGAAATGATTAGTTAACTTCCTATGAAGAATTCCCATGTTGCCTCAGGGACCTACTAATCAGAAGTACAAAACTCCAGGTCTTCCAGCATCACCATAAACCCACATACACTGTATGATCTGTAACTAATCTTATCCAGTCTCCCACTCCAGAATCTTTCAAGCCTGCTCTGCAATCCGCAAACTCTTCTTTGTTTTTAGTTTCTTTTGGAAACATTCCTTTGTTTCCTTTACTTTAAAAGAATCTTGCTTTCTCCTGACGAATGTTTTCTACTGAGGTCCTTTAAAGGGGTGGCTGTTTATTCTTCCTCGCTCAATATAACTCAAAGATGGAGGGATTTTTCTTGCTCTGCATTTTCTCTTCCAAATGGTTTCTTCTCTTTACTCTTTCAAAAACTTTATCTGTTTGGAAATTTACCACATTTGGCTAAATTGTCTATAGCCTCTTCCCTGTCATTAACTGCTTCACCTCTGAGTCAAGCCTCTTGTTGGTGATTTTTGCTCCTGGCTCACACATACCCTCTACTCATACCCTGACATCATTCCCAGTGACGCCAACCTCCATTTACATGCCATCTATCATGATGACTTGGTAGTTGCTTTATCTTCTTATGTACAGTAAAGTTACCACTTTCCTACCCACCTGCCATCATCGTCACACCCTATAGCTTGTCATCACCAGGCATAATAGAACCCTACAAGTGGGGTACTGCTGTCATTTCTCTGTCTCATGAGACCTTCATTTGATAGACTCCATCACTTGTTCACTATTCATTAAACCTCCTATCTTCAAACGCCTCCTTAACATTAGATTCCATAGACCATTATCAGAATTACTTCCTTTCAGGCACTTTCTGTTCTCTTTCTTCTTTTTCCTTCCATTATACCTGGAAAAAGCTCAACTTTTGTTGACTTAACTTCTTACTCTCTCTCCTCTCCTACATCTGAGTAGCTGTGTATTACTAGTGAAATGACACACAGTGATAATTGATGTCACTTTAAATCTTCAAGATAAGCTTCAACCCTAGCCAACAGATCTGTGACATTTCTGAGATTGATTCCTTTTCCAGCACTCCAAGATGACTATTTTATGACATTTCCTGTCTTCAAACCTCCTATATTCATTTCGTCCTCACTGGAAATCATCAGAAAGATGGTAGAAATCATCAGAGAAATATTCAATTAACTTTCCACTATGGAATTCACCTGTGCTTATATACATCTTTTTTATTTTCCTTTCTGTGATGGTT